GTACCAGTGACCTCCACCAGTGACCCCCCCTCTCCCCCAGTGACCCCCCCTGTTGGTGATTCAGAAGAATTGGAGGCTCACCGCAGTTGTGCATGAGCAGGGCCACAGTCTTCCCCCCGGGGGCCGCACACAGGTCCAGGACGCGCTGATCCGGCTGAACGTTCAGAGCCAGAACCGGGAGGAGCGACGCCGCGTCCATCAGATAATATTCCAGGAGACCCAACGTGTCCGCCCTGCGGAGACCAGAGGATGACCATCACTGGGGGGAGGGGACCTGAAACGTGTCACATGACAATCCTAGCGCCTGCAGGAGGACTGTCTGTGCTCCCCATCATCACTGACAGTCCTCCTGCGATGCTCATGGATGTGGGGTCCGGTCCTCCAGGGACGGGGATGACACACACTGGTCATGGATGTGGGGTCCGGTCCTCCAGGGACGGTGATGACACACACTGGTCACGTATGTGGGGTCCGGCCCTCCAGGGACGGGGATGACACACTCCGCTGATCTCCATGGTGACGGCCTACCTGGGGGATGGGAAGCGGCTGATGTCTCCGCGGGGGAAGGTGTAGCAGGAGAGCGCACCTCCGCACGCCGATGTCACCATTTCTCGTCTCTTCTGCTCCGCCTGGTGAAAGGAGGAGTCTGCAGGTGTCATGTCTGTCCCCGGACTCTCCGCCATCACCAGATGAGCCTCGCTCAGGAAGTCCGTGCTGTGTAATGCCTCCAGATTGGCCATCACGGCCTCCGTCCTGGAGAAGACGTTCACCATGGCGCCGTACTTCTGTTCCGAGAGGAGCGCCACCCGCAGCGCCGGCCAATCAGCGAGCTGCAGAGAGTACACGGAGTCAAAGTATCGGAGGGCCACCTGGGGGCCGGAGACCGCGGGGAGGGTGGAGGCCTGAGACAGGGAGGAGGAGAGGTCAGTGTACAAGATGGAGGACCCCCAATACAGAGGACCCTCCCCCCACAATGACATCACCCAATACGGAGGACCCTCCCCCCACAATGACATCACCCAATACGGAGGACCCTCCCCCCACAATGACATCACCCAATACAGAGGACCCTCCCCCCACAATGACATCACCCAATACGGAGGACCCTCCCCCCACAATGACATCACCCAATACGGAGGACCCTCCCCCCACAATGACATCACCCAATACGGAGGACCCTCCCCCCACAATGACATCACCCAATACGGAGGACCCTCCCCCCACAATGACATCACCCAATACGGAGGACCCTCCCCCCACAATGACATCACCCAATACGGAGGACCCTCCCCCCACAATGACATCACCCAATACGGAGGACCCTCCCCCCACAATGACATCACCCAATACGGAGGACCCTCCCCCCACAATGACATCACCCAATACGGAGGACCCTCCCCCCACAATGACATCACCCAATACGGAGGACCCTCCCCCCACAATGACATCACCCAATACGGAGGACCCTCCCCCCACAATGACATCACCCAATACGGAGGACCCTCCCCCCACAATGACATCACCCAATACGGAGGACCCTCCCCCCACAATGACATCACCCAATACGGAGGACCCTCCCCCCACAATGACATCACCCAATACGGAGGACCCTCCCCCCACAATGACATCACCCAATACGGAGGACCCTCCCCCCACAATGACATCACCCAATACGGAGGACCCTCCCCCCACAATGACATCACCCAATACGGAGGACCCTCCCCCCACAATGACATCACCCAATACGGAGGACCCTCCCCCCACAATGACATCACCCAATACGGAGGACCCTCCCCCCACAATGACATCACCCAATACGGAGGACCCTCCCCCCACAATGACATCACCCAATACGGAGGACCCTCCCCCCACAATGACATCACCCAATACGGAGGACCCTCCCCCCACAATGACATCACCCAATACGGAGGACCCTCCCCCCACAATGACATCACCCAATACGGAGGACCCTCCCCCCACAATGACATCACCCAATACGGAGGACCCTCCCCCCACAATGACATCACCCAATACGGAGGACCCTCCCCCCACAATGACATCACCCAATACGGAGGACCCTCCCCCCACAATGACATCACCCAATACGGAGGACCCTCCCCCCACAATGACATCACCCAATACGGAGGACCCTCCCCCCACAATGACATCACCCAATACGGAGGACCCTCCCCCCACAATGACATCACCCAATACGGAGGACCCTCCCCCCACAATGACATCACCCAATACGGAGGACCCTCCCCCCACAATGACATCACCCAATACGGAGGACCCTCCCCCCACAATGACATCACCCAATACGGAGGACCCTCCCCCCACAATGACATCACCCAATACGGAGGACCCTCCCCCCACAATGACATCACCCAATACGGAGGACCCTCCCCCCACAATGACATCACCCAATACGGAGGACCCTCCCCCCACAATGACATCACCCAATACGGAGGACCCTCCCCCCACAATGACATCACCCAATACGGAGGACCCTCCCCCCACAATGACATCACCCAATACGGAGGACCCTCACCCACAATGACATCACCCAATACAGAGGACCCTCCCCCCACAATGACATCACCCAATACAGGGACCCTCCCCCCACAATGACATCACCCAATACAGAGGACCCTCCCCCCACAATGACATCACCCAATACGGAGGACCCTCACCCACAATGACATCATACAATTGGGGGGTCACACCCGGGAATCAGTACGGGGGAGGGGTGGCCCATGGTCATTTCCGGGCAAGGTGACACTACGTTATAACCCAAAGGCAGAACCTCGAGCTCCCACCCATCCCCCATGTCACCGCTTCCACATATATGTCCCGCCGTGCTCTCACCCACTTCCTCTTGGGTCGGTGGTTCCGGTAAGCGGTGAAAGTAGGACACCGAAATCTCCTTAACAAGGCACGTCCCGGCATGGGGGCCGCCATCTTCCCGGCATAGACCACGCCTACCACACTTCGCCCCGCCCATTCCTGACTTATAACATCAGTCCTCCTAGCTCCGCCCCCCGTCTTCTGCTATCCGCTACACCCTCTGTAATGATACCTGCTCGCTCCTCCCCTCTCTGTCACGGAGCACCATCCCCTTCGCCCCGCCCTTTCCCGTTCAATCAGCCATGCTCGCCCCGCCCGCTCTGAGCGGAGGCCACGCCCACCCGTAGATCTGTGTGTTGGGGGCCGATCTCGGTGCAATCATCTTCCAGCAGACTTCCTGATTGGTGCAGAGAGTGCTATGTACATTGAATATGGTTGGCGGTGAAGCCATGGGATCGCAATGACAGCCAGGGAAGAAGGATGTGAGCCGCTCACATGTCCCGTGACACATCGGTGTGATTAAACCCTCCGTGTCACAGATTGTAGTCCATCCCGGGGGAGGAGCTTGGAGCGGTGACTACAACACACACACAGAGACCATGGGCAACAGACGTAGTCACCCTCCACAAGGAAGGACAAATAAGATACATTGTTGTCACACGTGTCATCTCATATACACACACATGTGCTGCGTCATCTCATATACACACACGTGTGCCGCATCATCTCATATACACACGTGTGCCGCGTCATCTCATATACACACACGTGTGCCGCGTCATCTCATATACACACACGTGTGCCGCGTCATCTCATATACACACACGTGTGCCGCGTCATCTCATATACACACACGTGTGCCGCGTCATCTCATATACACACACGTGTGCCGCGTCATCTCATATACACACACGTGTGCCGCGTCATCTCATATACACACACGTGTGCCGCGTCATCTCATATACACACACGTGTGCCGCGTCATCTCATATACACACACGTGTGCCGCGTCATCTCATATACACACACGTGTGCCGCGTCATCTCATATACACACACGTGTGCCGCGTCATCTCATATACACACACGTGTGCCGCGTCATCTCATATACACACACGTGTGCCGCGTCATCTCATATACACACACGTGTGCCGCGTCATCTCATATACACACACGTGTGCCGCGTCATCTCATATACACACACGTGTGCCGCGTCATCTCATATACACACACGTGTGCCGCGTCATCTCATATACACACACGTGTGCCGCGTCATCTCATATACACACACGTGTGCCGCGTCATCTCATATACACACACGTGTGCCGCGTCATCTCATATACACACACGTGTGCCGCGTCATCTCATATACACACACGTGTGCCGCGTCATCTCATATACACACACGTGTGCCGCGTCATCTCATATACACACACGTGTGCCGCGTCATCTCATATACACACACGTGTGCCGCGTCATCTCATATACACACACGTGTGCCGCGTCATCTCATATACACACACGTGTGCCGCGTCATCTCATATACACACACGTGTGCCGCGTCATCTCATATACACACACGTGTGCCGCGTCATCTCATATACACACACGTGTGCCGCGTCATCTCATATACACACACGTGTGCCGCGTCATCTCATATACACACACGTGTGCCGCGTCATCTCATATACACACACGTGTGCCGCGTCATCTCATATACACACACGTGTGCCGCGTCATCTCATATACACACACGTGTGCCGCGTCATCTCATATACACACACGTGTGCCGCGTCATCTCATATACACACACGTGTGTCGCGTCATCTCATATACACACGTGTGCCGCATCATGTCATATACACACACGTGTGCCGCGTCATTTCATATAGACACACATGTGCCGCGTCATGTCATATACACACACGTGTGCCGTGTCATGTCATATACACACGTGTGCCGCGTCATGTCATATACACACGTGTGCCGCGTCATCTCATATACACACACGTGTGCCACGTTATATCATATACACACACGTGTGCCGCATCATCTCATATACACACGTGTGCCGCGTCATCTCATATACACACACGTGTGCCGCGTCATCTCATATACACACACGTGTGCCGCGTCATCTCATATACACACGTGTGCCGCGTCATCTCATATACACACACGTGTGCCGCGTCATCTCATATACACACACGTGTGCCGCGTCATCTCATATACACACACGTGTGCCGCATCATGTCATATACACACACGTGTGCCGCATCATGTCATATACACACACACGTGTGCCGCGTTATATCATATACACACATGTGTGCCGCATCATCTCATATACACACACGTGTGCCGCGTCATCTCATATACACACACGTGTGCCGCGTCATCTCATATACACACACGTGTGCCGCATCATCTCATATACACACACGTGTGCCGCGTCATCTCATATACACACACGTGTGCCGCGTCATCTCATATACACACACGTGTGCCGCGTCATCTCATATACACACACGTGTGCCGCGTCATCTCATATACACACACGTGTGCCGCGTCATCTCATATACACACACGTGTGCCGCGTCATCTCATATACACACACGTGTGCCGCGTCATCTCATATACACACACGTGTGCCGCGTCATCTCATATACACACACGTGTGCCGCGTCATCTCATATACACACACGTGTGCCGCGTCATCTCATATACACACACGTGTGCCGCGTCATCTCATATACACACACGTGTGCCGCGTCATCTCATATACACACACGTGTGCCGCGTCATCTCATATACACACACGTGTGCCGCGTCATCTCATATACACACACGTGTGCCGCGTCATCTCATATACACACACGTGTGCCGCGTCATCTCATATACACACACGTGTGCCGCGTCATCTCATATACACACACGTGTGCCGCGTCATCTCATATACACACACGTGTGCCGCGTCATCTCATATACACACACGTGTGCCGCGTCATCTCATATACACACACGTGTGCCGCGTCATCTCATATACACACACGTGTGCCGCGTCATCTCATATACACACACGTGTGCCGCGTCATCTCATATACACACACGTGTGCCGCGTCATCTCATATACACACACGTGTGCCGCGTCATCTCATATACACACACGTGTGCCGCGTCATCTCATATACACACACGTGTGCCGCGTCATCTCATATACACACACGTGTGCCGCGTCATCTCATATACACACACGTGTGCCGCGTCATCTCATATACACACACGTGTGCCGCGTCATCTCATATACACACACGTGTGCCGCGTCATCTCATATACACACACGTGTGCCGCGTCATCTCATATACACACACGTGTGCCGCGTCATCTCATATACACACACGTGTGCCGCGTCATCTCATATACACACACGTGTGCCGCGTCATCTCATATACACACACGTGTGCCGCGTCATCTCATATACACACACGTGTGCCGCGTCATCTCATATACACACACGTGTGCCGCGTCATCTCATATACACACACGTGTGCCGCGTCATCTCATATACACACACGTGTGCCGCGTCATCTCATATACACACACGTGTGCCGCGTCATCTCATATACACACACGTGTGCCGCGTCATCTCATATACACACACGTGTGCCGCGTCATCTCATATACACACACGTGTGCCGCGTCATCTCATATACACACACGTGTGCCGCGTCATCTCATATACACACACGTGTGCCGCGTCATCTCATATACACACACGTGTGCCGCGTCATCTCATATACACACACGTGTGCCGCGTCATCTCATATACACACACGTGTGCCGCGTCATCTCATATACACACACGTGTGCCGCGTCATCTCATATACACACACGTGTGCCGCGTCATCTCATATACACACACGTGTGCCGCGTCATCTCATATACACACACGTGTGCCGCGTCATCTCATATACACACACGTGTGCCGCGTCATCTCATATACACACACGTGTGCCGCGTCATCTCATATACACACACGTGTGCCGCGTCATCTCATATACACACACGTGTGCCGCGTCATCTCATATACACACACGTGTGCCGCGTCATCTCATATACACACACGTGTGCCGCGTCATCTCATATACACACACGTGTGCCGCGTCATCTCATATACACACACGTGTGCCGCGTCATCTCATATACACACACGTGTGCCGCGTCATCTCATATACACACACGTGTGCCGCGTCATCTCATATACACACACGTGTGCCGCGTCATCTCATATACACACACGTGTGCCGCGTCATCTCATATACACACACGTGTGCCGCGTCATCTCATATACACACACGTGTGCCGCGTCATCTCATATACACACACGTGTGCCGCGTCATCTCATATACACACACGTGTGCCGCGTCATCTCATATACACACACGTGTGCCGCGTCATCTCATATACACACACGTGTGCCGCGTCATCTCATATACACACACGTGTGCCGCGTCATCTCATATACACACACGTGTGCCGCGTCATCTCATATACACACACGTGTGCCGCGTCATCTCATATACACACACGTGTGCCGCGTCATCTCATATACACACACGTGTGCCGCGTCATCTCATATACACACACGTGTGCCGCGTCATCTCATATACACACACGTGTGCCGCGTCATCTCATATACACACACGTGTGCCGCGTCATCTCATATACACACACGTGTGCCGCGTCATCTCATATACACACACGTGTGCCGCGTCATCTCATATACACACACGTGTGCCGCGTCATCTCATATACACACACGTGTGCCGCGTCATCTCATATACACACACGTGTGCCGCGTCATCTCATATACACACACGTGTGCCGCGTCATCTCATATACACACACGTGTGCCGCGTCATCTCATATACACACACGTGTGCCGCGTCATCTCATATACACACACGTGTGCCGCGTCATCTCATATACACACACGTGTGCCGCGTCATCTCATATACACACACGTGTGCCGCGTCATCTCATATACACACACGTGTGCCGCGTCATCTCATATACACACACGTGTGCCGCATCATGTCATATACACACACGTGTGCCAAGTTAT